ACAATCTGGTAAAAGGCAGAGGTGACAGGATTAGCCTTGAACAGAGAGACATCTCTGAGAACAATGAAATGGAGAAGAGTGAGCTAATCTATGTGGCGTAAGTAATTAGGGAAGTTCTTGGTGAGGAGCCTCAATTTCCTCTGTGATGCAGAAGGCAAGGTCATTTGTTCAGAAGGGGAGGGACTTATGAAGGGACGACTGAGGAGATTAATAAAGAATGGTAACTGTGGAAGGTAGAAGAGAGAATTGTTTGCTGTTCAAGCTAGGGACTCTAGCTGCAATGTTCAGAAGTTTTGAGAGTTAAAAGAGAAGTGCTTTGGAAGAATAAGGGGATGAAAATGGAGTGAGCTAGCAGGAAGGTGATTGATGTCATCCACTAAGTGTCTAGGCTGCAGTGGAAAGTCTGAAACCATGAAAATGGAGAAAGTGTTAAAAAGGCAAGATTAAGAAATTGGAGGTCTTTAAAGAACATGCATTGGGAGTAAAGGATTGAGAGATCTGAAAGGGTAGCTGGCTATAATCAGAGAATAGTATATTGAAATTGAAGATTTCAAAGAGAGAGCTAGTAGTGAAAGTAAGAGAAGTTGCCGAATAGATATGACAGTATGTTAGCTAATCAGAGGATCAATAGTCGGTGACAATTTCTTCACTGAAATTCAGTATCAGCTGGGTTCTAGAATATAAGACCTCAAACAGTAATAATCAAAGTAAAAATAAATCTCCGTCTTTTAAATTTATTTATTTATTTTTTTGGCAGGGGTGAAGGTCATTAGGTTTATTTAGTTATTTTTTTTAGTGGAGGCACTGGGGATTGAGGCACTAGGACCTTGTACATGCTAAGCACACAGTCTACCACTGACCCATCTTTTTAAATTTCAGAAATGTGTGTTCCTAGTTGTAAGTCCCCTGAAAAGAAGGAATGACTCTATCCTATCCATTTTAATCACCACCCCTCTATTATCTAACATAATTCCTTGTATATATTAGACGCTCAAATATTTGTAGAATATTTGAAAAAGAGAAAAAGGAAAACAGATCAAGTTTTCATTCTGAGATAATAGCTTACTGGATATATTTGAGCAGCTAAGTATATGATTGTAATTATATTCTGTAATAAATTCAGTATAAAACTCCTCAAAATTCTGTAGATTTCTGTATTAACTGTGTCTTAATGTTTGTTTTGTACCTCTGTTTTCAAAACTAATTTAATTTATATTTATTGTGGTATCTGTAGTCAATTTGGAATAGCAGTTTTTTAGGATCCTTCTCTTTCAATTCAAATATATAGATTTTTAAAATAAGATCCTTATATAGAGGAATGTGAGTGGTATGTTTGGGAATAGATAATTGCAGTTCAACTTCTTCATAAATTAGCTTCTATTTATGAAGCATATCTTTAAGATCTTACGTTTATATACTGCATTATCATTTTACCTCATATATAACAATTAGTAATAATAATTAACATTGAGTAATGCTTTTTATGTGACAGGTGCTGTTGTAAGTAGTTTACACGATTTACTTAATTTTTCCTCAAAACAACCCAATGTGCTATTATTATCCTTATTTATAGATGAAGAAACAGATACAGAGAGGTTAACTAACTTGCCTAAGATCAGAAAATTAGCGAGCAGATCAAACCTAGTGCTCAGGGTATTAACCACCACTACCAATGCAGGCATAGGTATAGATACAAATGTAGACGCTTTTATCATCTACTTCTTGTTTAAATGTCTGTTTTTTTTACCGTTAGGTCCCTGAGATCAAGGACATTGCATGGTGCATTGCTGCTTATCAACAAATTTTCTAAACCTTTCCAAGATAATTTTGCTATTGCTTACAGACTTTCCTCTTACTTTTTCCTATTGTTATTTTCATATTTCACAACTAACACTCTTGGCTTTTCTTTCAGTCTATTCAAGTTATTATTTGGGTGGTTTGTTATGAGACATGTTTTGACATTTTAAACCTTTACCGTTAAATCTTCATTCTTTTGCTGAGACAAAAATGATCTCTCCCTCTCCTCCTGCCAAATATCATAGCAGATTAAGTGTTTACACGAGGGGAGTTTGTAATCCTGGATTTCTGCAGCAGCGAATTTCAAATATTCTAGTCAAATCCTGCCTTTTGTCTGACTTCCTGATGAGTGTTACCATCAAAGCGTCACTCAGGCATCCATTAGTCACCAAGTGCTTATTTGGAGAATGGTTGCTATCATCACTTACTCCCTTTACACAGGTGCCACCTAGTTACTTTTGTTTTGGCAATTATGGGTTAAAGACATTCCAGAGTTTAGTCCTGCTTAAGCTTGCTAGCTCTCTATTTTAAATTAATGCACAGTGGGTTATTTCTTACAAGAGTAAATCTTTCATTGGACAGGATCTTTCAAAGCACTAATTTTTATTCTTCTTTTCCATAGATGAAAGTCTTCTTTCACAGTTAAACTATGCTTTTCTCCTTTTGCTTTACAAAGCTGCACTACACTGCAGTTAATGACGGGTGATTGAAAAGAACATAGATTTTATTCTTAAAATGTTGTTCTCTTTTGAGATACACATTTGACTATCCTTCTCCACTGCCTTGCTATTATATTTTTAAATAGTTACTTCCAATCCATGGAATTAATATCAACCTAAAACAATTGTTCTGCTTAGGAGTTATAAAATGATAAATAACACATACAAGGATCCTATTTTTTTGCTATGGCTTCCAAGTTCAGTAATTCCTCAACAGAGAACTCTGTAAGGCTTTAAATTCATTAGCAATTACTTAATAGGAAAAAACACGTTGAGCTATTTTTTAAAAGCTTGTCATGTTATATATAATTACCCTGTAGTCTCCCTCCTAGCACTTTTCTTCCTTGTGATATGTTTAGCATTCATCAACTTAGAAATAAGCCATAGGGTATTTAAAATGTCTTTCCCAATTTATAAAGAGAAATAGAAGACAGAATTTTAGATTCACAAGCAGAAGCTACTTAATGCAGCAACTACTTGTTAGGGGCTGCTCAGTGTAAGCTGGTCACAGTTAGAAATTCTATCTCACCCACCTTTGTAATACCAATATATAGTACAATTGCAGACCTACTTTTTCTTTCCCATTCTTCTTTTCCTTTTTTCCTCCTTTCATCCAGTTGTGACATAGGATAATGGAGTCTAAGAGAGAGACAGAGCTGGAGATGTGAATTTGAAAGTGGTCTGAATATAAACAGTATTTAAGACTATGAACAGGAAGGGGTTACCTAAGGTGAGTGCTTAGAGAAGTTAGAGAAGGAGACTTAGAAGGAATAGTCAGTAGGATAGAAACAGAGTGTGTTTTCAAAGAAGCCAAAAGAAGTAACTTACGTGTGCCTATTGATCATTTGTATGTCTTCCTTGGAGAATTGCTTGTTTAGGTCTTTTGCCCATTTTTGGATTGGGTTGTTTGGTTGTTTCTTATTAAGTCGTATGAGCTGCTTATATATTCTGGAGATCAAGCCTTTGTCGGTTTCATTTGCAAAAATTTTCTCCCATTCCGTAGGTCGTCTTTTTGTTTTACTTATGGTTTCCTTTGCTGTGCAGAAGCTTGTAAGTTTCATTAGGTCCCATTTGTTTATTCTTGCTTTTATTTCTATTGCTTGAGTAGACTGTCCTAGGAGAACATTTATGAGATGTATGTCAAAAAAAATAATAAAAGCAAAAGAAGTAACTTAAAAAGGGGAAATGGGCAGCTCCAACACATGCATATAGTAGGCAGAATAAAATAAAGAGTAAGACTTACAATAAACTTAAGTTTGACCAGATAACTACAACCATAATTAGAGTGCTTGGGACAAAGGCCCGATTGGAGTGGGATGAAAAAAATTGGAAATGAGGAATAAAGATGAAGACTTTAGACACTTTTTTTTTTGAGAAATATGATTGTAAAGGAAAGCAGAGAAGTAAGGGATAGCTGGAAATTTTAAATTATAGGTGGTGTATTTTAAATAGGGAACAATTTAAAAACTCATTTATAAGCCACTATGAATAATACAACATAGAGAACGTGAGAAAAAGATGATGCAGAGAGAGGGGAAATGTTACTGCGTGGGTGAAGATAGGCTCCACAGCAAGGTTTGATTTCTTGGTCTTAGATACTTGCATGAACTCTCCTTCCACTGTAACATCAGTGGAAACAACGTTTACAGGCAGGTGCACATATTAGATTGGTGAGGGAAAGAAGTAGGGCTCATCTGATAATTTCTGTTTTTTCAATAAAATATAGGCAAGATGAAGTGTTTGGCATGGGGGATAAAAGGTAAAAAAGATTTAAGGAAGGAAGAGAAGGTATAAAATAGTCATTTAGGAGAATGGAGACTAGAGTTTGTGACAAATACCTGGTTTCAACATTGGGTCACCAGGGGAAAATGCACGCTCGCCCCCAGGAGCCCATTTTTGGTTACTTACCAAGACTATGACTTCACTGATAGGCCGTATCACTTCAGCTCTCACTCACTCTACTCGATTCAGACACCTAGAAATTTCTTTTATCTTGCTCTTCAGCTCATTCGTGCATTTAAAAACATTTTTCAGATTATATTTTATTTTGCATTTCCATGTGTCTGTGTAGGAGAGCTTTCCAGGTGTTTTTAAGGTAAATAGAACTACTATGAATTTCAGTTTCATCATTTATGAAATGGGCATAATATTATCTACTTGCAGAATTGTGGCCCATAATATGTAACCAATAGGTCATAGTTGTAATTATTATTACCATTGAATGCTATTCTTTTGTCTAGAGAATAAAAAGACTTTGCTTCTACTCTGCCTTTTTTTCTAGATAAAGTTAGCTTTTGAAACCCTGAAACTGAATTTTTAACATACTTTTTTTTTGTTTTACAATTTTAATGTGGCACAAGGTTTCTATGTTTCTTGTGTATTAGTGTGGTTGGAGCATAAGATATCTTACTGAATAATAATTTTTTGTAATTTGGGCTATGTAATGTTTTAGGACCTTGATAATGTAATATTTGAGAAAGAATAGACTTCAGATAAAAGGTGTATTTCCTTATGAGATTTTATTCTTATTACACAAGCAAAATTATAATTAACAATGTAATTTGAAAATCCCAATAATAATACCAAGGAAAAAACAAGGAGGAAAAAAGCCAACATATAACTTGAAAGGGATTTTTGAAAACCATCACAATATTATCCACATCCTCTTTGTCTAGAACATGTTGCTGAAGACTACAATGTTTTGTAGTAAAGCACTTTATCAATTTGAGTAACTAATACTAATAAATGCTAATCATGTAATTTTAGTGTAAATCTTGTTTTTTTCCCCAAATTAGAACATCCATGGCTATACCTAGTGTTCTCTAGAGGAATATAAATACTACCAAAATCAATGTTCACTGCTTAAAGGAGAAATTGGAGATATTGACATAGTGAATCTTTATTCCATATCTTCTTCCATGTTGGTCTGCTCTAGGACATGCACCTCTCTTTCAGGTAATAATCCATATTCATTTAGGAAAGACTCCACATCCCCAGTAAAAAATTCTTCAGCAAACTGTTCAGTAACACTAATAAAATTGCTTAGGAGTTCCCCACCTTTGTAGACGAGCAGTGTGGGGAGCACATCTGAGGAAAAGCGGTCCCCAGCACCTGTATTAGAAGCTTTTATTTTACAAAATTTGACCATAGGATATTCGGCTGCAAGGCATGTTAAGCTACTGTTTAGAGCGTCACAGCCCTTAATACCGTCTTCATAAATGTGAACAACGATTGTGGTGATTTTCTGCTCCTTTTCAATGGTTTCCAGGAATTGCTCCCCAGATTCCAGCTCGTACACAAACCCATATCTAGGACCAAAACTCAGCTTCTGGTGCATATCCTGCATACACTGTCTACGATATTTACGAAGGCAGTTTTCATCTTCTTTGTCTCGGTGAACGAGTTCATATTCTTGAATGCTCATCTGGGAATAGATGAAAGAAATAAGAGAGATCATTCAGTCAGAAATTTATATTCCTCATACATCCTATTCTCAACTTAAAGAGTTTGCATTTGCTGTCCCCCCAGCCCTGCTCCTGATCCTGATGTGGCCTTCTCCTTCACATCATGTATTCAAATGTCACCTTCTTTGATTTCTCTAAGAGTCCCAGCCTCATACTTTCTATACCTTATGCTGGCTTATTTTTCTTTGTAGCAATAAATACTACCTGGTATGGTATTATATTTATTAGTTTAATTGTATAAGATTAGTTTTTCTTCTCACTTTTGTGCTGTATGGTGGCAGGGATTTTATTTGTCTCATTCAATCGCTCTTCAATATCTGCCTTAGTGTCTGGCATGTAATGGGGGTTCAGTAATTATTTCATGATTTGATGCATGTGTAAGTATTGCTGAATATAGTTGAGCTAAGAGATGGTCATGCTCTCAGTCAGAAATGTGCCACTTTGGGTGGAAAAAAGCCCAGCAAGTTCTACTCTGGAGTGACTTCCATAAAAATATATACACACACATGTGCACAAGTGCCTGCACATGCAGTTAAATGTGTCCCCAACAAATGCCTTTGGGCATTAGTGTCTCCTCCATGAAAGTTGTTAACAATATTATAGCTTACCATATGCTGATGATTTTTGGAATATGTAGAATGGAGTTTAAGCAAGGCAACTTTTAGTACTTTTTGGAGTTCATCTTAGCCAAGAGACCAGCAGCAGCATCACCATCACCTGAGAAGTTCTGGGAAATGCAAATCTGGGAGCACCACCCCAATTTACTGAATTAGAATCTTCAGGGTGAGGCTGAGTGAGCCATGTTTAAACAAGTCCTTCAGGTGATTCGTATGCACTGTTTTAGGCTAAAATGAGAAAAGACCTAGTTTCCATCTCCTAAGACAGCTACTTCTCACTGCAGCTGGAATATTAAATTACCTGCAGAGCCTTTCTTAATAGCTATATCATTATTACTTAGTAGAATGTTAAACACACTTTCCCTTCACACACACACACACACACACACACACACACGAGTGATATAAAGGAGTGATGATGGGTCATAATGTAATTAAGAGATGTGGAGCAGCCCAGAACCATGGAGGTTGGATGACTCCCAAATTTGTGGAAAATCTACTATGTCTTAGGTATTTTACATAGATAATTTTTCTTAATCCTCACAACAAACCTGTGAGGTAGGTTTTTTACAGACGATACGGAGATTAAGTTGAAGTATCTGGCACATTCATTACTTCATTCTCTTGTTTCTGCCTCCTATGGTGGTTTTTCCAATGTCCTCATTCTTTTTCATATCATATTGTTTTTTTCTGCTTTAGAATTATCATTCCAACTTAATCTGTTTTAACCCTAGACATTGTTATATGTTTTGTGTAATTTTTTAGTTGCTACCATAGTTCTGTTAATTTTACAGACGGAGCCACACAAATACTGATTTACACATGCATTTGAGCATTCTTATGAGAATCTGTTCCATTCATATCTTCAGGCAAATAGATATTCAGGCACTCAGATACATTTCTAAAGCCTAACCTTAGTACACCATCTTTAACCATTATAATGTCTCACATTTGTATAGCATTTTACATGTTTCAAAACACTTTCTCATTTTTTTCTCTTTACATCTCTTTAAAACAAGTGGAGGAGGTGTTGTTACAGTTCCTCAGATGGGAAAATTTAATTATTTCTTTCACATCACATAGTGACCTAGTGAAGGAACCAAAATCTGAAAACAAGATGTTATACTTGAAGATTTTTACAATGACCAGAAACCTGGAACCAAGAATATTTCTGATTCACAGACTCTGTTGAGAATCAATATATAATAATTCATACACACTGGTTTGGAGATAAATAAACCACTAGAGTGATTTTTCTCCACAATGAAAATCACTTTATGATTTCTTCTATTAATATTAATATTGTTGTTCCTTTCATATAAATAATACATGCCAATTATAAAGACTCAAAAATGAACTAAACGCTAAAGGAAGTAATAAATACTGAAATTTCACCACTCAGATTCTCTGAGATAATCCCTATCAAAATTTTAGAGATCAACTTCTCATGTATTGCTCTGTGTATGGATGACATACACATTATATAATAAGAAATAAGTGAGAATTTTAAAAATGCTGCTTTAAAAAAAATTACGGATATTAAAAAAAATGTGTCTTATTCTGCTTACCTTCTTCCTCCTCCTTGGAAAGAGGAAGTTGAGAACTCTCAACCAGTCTCACCCTTCCAATTAATCAATATTGTCAATTTGGTGAGTGTCTTCCCATACTTTTCTAAATACCTTTTGTTGTTTGTTTTCCATTGCTGTAGAGAATTGATCATATATAAAATTCTCTGTAACTTGCCCTCTCATGTTGTGAAAGTACCTCAGGTCAACTCATGTACTCACTTGTATCTCATTCTTTTTAACAGTTGTCACGTATTTCTTAAATTATAGGATGACTTCGTAAACATTTACTAAAGTTTGTTTTTTAAACTTATTTATTTTTTGCTAATACAAACAATACTGTAGTAAATACTCTTGAAATAGATAAGTATTTTATAATATTTCTAAAGTGATTCCATAGAGTCATTCAGACTAAAAACACATTGTAGGTTATTATTGATTTCTTCTTATCTTACCTTTCTGCTGAATCTTTCTTTTGAGTCTTTGTCATCTCTACTTTGAGGAGAAGACATTTGTCTGAGAATCTCTTTCTTGCTAGGTGGGAATGAATCACTATCTTCACTCTCTAATTTAAACTTCCTCCAATCATTTATTACTCCTTTGGGCCCTGGAATAAAATTAAGACAAATTGTTTTCCTTTTTTCCAAATAATTATGTACATAATTGATATTTGTATAAGTATAACCATGGAAATAGACTTGCCACCTTCTGTGTCAGGAAAAATATCTCATTCGGGCTAGAAATTTCTGACTTCCTTGCTGGTAAAAATCTTCTCCCACATTAATCTTGTTAAATGGGTTTTGGCTAAGAATTTTAACATCTGTGTTTATGAAAATACAAATTATGCACTTTGAACTATTGGCAAAATTTGAAGGTAAAGATATCAAAAATTACTGTAGAGAGGAAACTAGAATTTTAAGAAATTAGTACTTTTATTAAATAAGAAAGAAGCTTCAGCAGTAAACTAAAATTGGCACCACACTATTAACAAAGGAAACTAGGGTTTGGGGTAAACAAATTGAAATGTTACCAAGATCCAGAAAACAATAATAACAATAGCACTTAGGAGACAACCAGTAAGAGGGAGGCCTGACCGCAATTAACAAAACTAAAATGGTTTAAGAAAATTATTACATAACCATTCAATTCCTTCTAAGATTGTAAGGATCTTTTAGAAATATAGAAACTATGAGATATACAGATTTTAGAAAATTAATTAAATAAAGAATAACCCAGCCGGAACTCTGATGTTCATTTGCCCTGATAAATAATAACAGTGCTTGGAAGAACGTCTAGATTCTTGAATATATGCAGTTTTAAATATTCTTCACTAAAGCTTAGCCACATCCATACTTTTAGTATTGTATATGTGTGGATGTATTCTCTCTCCCACATGTTTCCTGATAATTTTTTGTTTTGTAATATACAATTTTAATATAGATTTATTTATTTAATGATTTTCAGGCAATCAGTGTTTTTTACTTGTGTAGTCTCTGTTTTCCAGATGTTTTCTGCATATACAAAATATGCATGTGTATAGCATGCGTTTATGTGTTTAGAAAAGGCAATCTTTTTTTCTCCTGTTTGTTTTTACAAATGGTAGTATATTTTGCACACTTTTTTTCACCTTGCTTTTTTTACTTCATAATATATCTCAAAGATTTTTTTTACATACATACATAAAGAGGTTCTTCCTTTTTCTAAAAAATAGGGACTTGTATTCCAGTGTGTAAATATCAGTTTACTTAAGCAGTGTCTTATAGATGTACATGGTTGCTTCTGCATTTTTTCTATGACATATGATTCTGAGTGAAGAATGTGGCACATACGTTTTTTCTGTCTGTGCAGGTCTACATATAGGTTAGGTCTACATATATTATAGGTTGTAAAATTGCTTGCCATATATGTTTCTAATTTTAATATTGCTAACCTATCTTTAAAGAGATTGTACAAGTTTACACTCCTACCAATAATTTATGAGTATGCCTTTTTCCAAAGTGTGATATTAAACTTTTTCACTTTTACAAACTGTGGGAAAAAATGTATCTTACTATAGTTCTGACTATTCCCAGTGCCATTAAAATTCTTTTTCTAAATAGTCCTGTGTTTTGCCAATTTCCCCATTTGGTTGTTGATTTTTTTAATTGATTTGTAGGAGCTTTTAATATATATTAGGAAATTAACCCTTTGTTAATGTTCTCTCCCAATTTGTTGTTTTTTGGATTCTTCTCTTTGTGACTTTTACCAGGCTGCAGACATTCCCTTCCTTCCCTCCATTCCTTCCTCTCCTTTTCCTTCTTCCTTCCTTCATTTCTGTAGCTGAATTTATTAATCTTCTTCTATGGTTTCTTGGTTTTGTCACGCTTAAAAGGTATTCTTCATACTGCCATTATGAAACTACTTTTCATGCCTTTTGTTTAGTACTCATTGAATTCATTCAAAATTCTGGTTAACTTTAAAGGCTCCAATTCGTATTATTAAAAGAGAGAAGAAAGTATTACTCAAATGAGATTAAGTAGAGTTAAAAGAAACCTGAATTTTAAAATTTAAGCTATGATATTTGACTTTTAAACTTTATTTAGTAATAGCATATGGACAGCCACACACAGTTTAATAGATTAAGAAAACAGGCTCTGGATGAATTGAAATCTTAGGTTTTCTGGAAGAATATTAAAATCCATTTTATTTAAAGATTTTTAATTATTTTCTATATTTTTTATATTAAAAAAATGATTAAAAACTCTATTTATTTATCTTTTGGTCTACTATTATTTACAATGACAAAGAAAATCCATAGTGAGGGAGATTAGGAGAGTGGAAAATGGCTTAATTATAGTGTAGGTAGAGAAGTTTTATGATAGTTGGGCAACAAAGAATTCTCAATAATTGGTGTTTTTCTCATTCTTTGGCATCTGAGTAAAACTTTTTTTTAGGAAACACAGAATGCTATATTTTTTATCACTGTATTTTTTCCAGTTTTGATTTACCATAGTCTTTAGGATTTTAAAATCTTTATTAACAAGATCAATTGTTGTGTATTTAAAGTGACTCCCTGCTTTCAAATAGAGTGACTTAAGAAAAAAGAAAATCTGACTTGCCTCATAGATGCTGAGTGTGATCCTTCCAGCAGGGGAGGCAAAGTGATATAGGGGTGAGGGTGCAGTAGGTTTCATCTCTCAGACCAACGATGATCAGTTGGTTTTTTTTTTTTTAATAGTTGATTTACAATGTATTAGTTTCAGAGGTAGAGCAAAGTGATTCAGTTATACATATACATATATATTTTTTCCAGATTCTTTACCATTATATGCTATTACAAGATATTGAATATCGTTCCCTGTGCCATACAGTAGGTCCTTGTTGTTTATCTGTTTCATATAGTGTATCTCTTTTAATCCCAAACTTCTGATTTATCTCTCTCCCCCTTCCCCTTTAGTAACCATAAGTTTGTTTTCAATGTCTGTTTTGTAAATAAGTTCATATGTACCATTTTTTAAAATTCCACATGTAAGTCATGTCATATGACATTCGTCTTTTTCTTTCTGACTTACTTCACTTAGCATGATAATCTCAAGAACCATTCATGCTGCTGCAAATGGCATTTATTTCATTCTTTTTTTAAGGCTGAATAATGTTCCATTGTGTATATATACCACATCTTCTTTATCCATTAATCTGTCAATAGACATTTAGGTAGTTGCCATGTCTTGGCTATTGTAAATAGTGCTGCTGTGAACACTGGGGTGCATATATCTTTTTGAACTAGAATTTTTGTCTTTTCCAGATATATGCCCAGGAGTGCAATTCCTGGATCATATGGCAACTCTATTTTTAGTTTTTTAAGGGACCTCTAGACTGTTCTCCATGGCTATACCAATTTACATTGCTACCAACAGTGTAGGAGGATTCTCTTTTCTCCTCATCCTCTCTAGTATTTATTATTTGTAGGCTTTTTGATGATGGCTGTTCTGACCGGTGTAAGGTGATAGCTCATTGTAGCCTAAATAAAACTATTTTAAGAGTATTTAATTTCACATTAATTTAGCCAGTCAAATTTTTTTTTTTGGTGATTCCATCAAGCCACTGAAAGGTATTACTTAAATTTCATACTGAATTGTGGCAATACGAACACTGGAGAGCTTCAGATTTAATTTAAATTTAATAATCATCTTTTCTTCTAGCTTTGCTTACCTGTGTGTGTGGCCTGCCCTTCAAAGTCTTCCTCCAAACTTTGGCTTTTGGCTTCTTCCATTTTAGGAATTCAGATTTGATGTAATCTAAAGGAAAAACAAAGTAATGATGACAGATGAATTCTAGGAGAAATATATGTTATGTATTCTACTGTCAGGTTCCATGTAGGTTAAGAGTTATCTCTAAGTGATATAATGTTTAGTTTCCTGTCTACTTTGTAAAAGGATATTAATTTAATATTTGTGTCATTAAAGATATTTGGACCTAAGAACTTTATGTAATTTATAGTTTGTCTCTCTTTTTTTTTTTTTTTACTTAAAAGGCTTCAGTTTAGGTCTGTGTACTTAGTGAACATTATTTATTACTGATTTTATTTTTTATTGCTGTTTGTTACCAAATTTCATGAAATTGTATTCTGATCATTTTATATAATAAAACTGTTTTAATGAATAATAATTACGTACTTACTATGAACACTTACTACGTGCCAGGCATTGTTCCAATCATTTCATGTGTCAAAAGTCATTTAATTCTCGCACCATATGTAACAGGGACAATTGTTAATGCTATTTTACAGCTGAGGAAGCTGAAGGACAAAAAGTTTACTTTTTACTTGCCTAAGCAAGGATCTGAACCTACCTTTCATTTTAGAGCTAAATTTTAAAGCATTTTACTATTTTGACGGTTAACATACTCTATCATTTTTCTCAATATGGTTTGACAAATCCATTTTTTGAATTGGCATTAAAGAATTATGATCTAAGAAACAGTGCTATTCCAAACCTAGCACTATTACTTCTCTCTATACCACAAAGCAAGTTTTGGTCATGTTACCCACCAAGCAAATGAAAACAATCAGTAACTATGCCTGTAGAATTTTGAGAAGCTAAAATATGTCACAAAATCTACCAAAAGCACATGGAATTTTATTCATAGGAAACTCCTTGATGAGCTCGTGTAGACTGTATTTATCCTTGGTTCACATTCAAATCCAACTTATTTGCCTATTTTAATAACCTTTCCATTATCTGGAAAATTCTATTATGCTTACTAACACATTCCCTAAGAGGGTCCATATAGTTGTGATTTTCTTATAATTCTCAAGTCAAGGAGGATATGCTAACAGTAGACATACTATCTTTTTACTCTCTTTCCTTCTTCTACACTTTTCCCTTTGCCTCTTTCTCTCAGAGTCAGTTTTAAGCAGTGATATCATCCAGCTTATGCTTTGATCACATCTTAATTTTTAATTTTTAAATTTTATTTTATTTAAAAAGCCTTTTATTGAAGTATAGTTGATTTACAATGTTAGTTTCCAGTGTACAGCATTATCTTAGTGTTTTATTGATGTGTTCTGAGCTTGGTCTGTTTGGTACTTTCCTAAGGCACAGAATGGTAAACCAGAACTCTTTTTGTCTTGATTCTTTTTTTTCTTTTCTTTCTTTGACTTCTGCCCCTAACATTTGGACTGGCGTCTTAATCTTGTTTTCCTTGCTACAATTCCTACCCGGAATCACTGGAGGTCAAAGGTCTTTGCCAATTTAATTTTACCCAGTTGAACAAGAAAAGGCTTTTAAGAAAAGGCTGTCAAGTGAATGCCAATCCATTCCATGTGACTATAAATGTAATAAAGAATGTTAAATTTGAATGGATTTAATAATGAAAAAGAATCAAAAAAAATGGGAGTAAGAGAAAATTGAAATAAGTAGATGTTGTTGGACAAAAGAATCTACTTAATTACTTACTGCAATTATTTAAAAATAATTTTTTCATCTAAGAAAAATGAATATTATTAATTTGTTTCAAAAGACCACTACAGAACAAAGTAATGGAAACTATTTGATAACTTCAATAACTATTTAGTCCTCAGAAAAGTAGAGACTCAAGCCAGTCTCTTTTATTTTGAAAGAGTAGACTGGGAGTTCGAAAGTTGCAGATACTAACTACTGTACATAAAATAGATAAATAACAAGTTTCTTCTGTGTAGCACAGAAAACTATATTCAATATCTTGTAGTAACCTATAATGAAAAAGAATATGAAAATGAATGTATGTACGTATATGTATGGCTGAATCATTATATTGTACATCAGAAATTGATGCAACATTGTAAACTGACTATATTTCAATTAAAAAAGGAAAAATAGAAAATTTGGGGTAGCTACTGTTCACAAATGTATTTAAGGCTTAAAAAAAATCTGAAAATAATTTTATTTCAAATGTTGAAGAGATAGAATAGCTTGCTTCTTGGCAACCTAGTTGAAATCTAGTGGAGAAAAAAAGAAATTTCTTTTTTCAAAAAGACTTTTTTCAATTTCATAGAATTTCTTTATTGTAAAGATAATTCAGTTACTTGGGAAAAACTTGATTCATTGACTGGATTATATATGTTAATAGGCTATGGGCCAGGCATTTCCCAGGGCTCTGAATTACATTAAGAACAAAACTCTTATAGTATGGTACTCACAAATACTAAGAGTTAAGTCAGTTGGGTTGCCTATGTAGTAAAAGACAGAATCCATTCTTACCTACTGCCTCCATTTGAATTAGAGTACAAAGATAGATGAAATTTACTACTGTTTATATATATTAGGGGAACCAGTGAACAAAGGCAGAAATTGGAAGAAAAATTTGAAATATGATGTATATTTGCTTGCACTGCTTGAAGACACTGTAGAAGAAGACACAAATCTAGTATAATTAGCTAGTGAGATATTTGAGCTATCCAACTGTTAGTACCACCTGTCATCAGCTTACTCTGGGGTTTTCTGATTATCTCAAATAATTTATCGTCTTCAGAATTTGCTTTAGTATCCTAAAATGAATCCAGTTAGTATTTGGAAGGTGCTTAGATCCTTACACACAGTAAGTGCTATATATGAGTCTATAAAATAAAATAAAAAATATACTTTATGTTTTGATATACAATGTAACAGTCATTCAAAGATATGACCAACATTTGGTTTGCAGTAGTACTACTAGGGGTTAAAAAATTACAAGTCTGCTTTTGGTTAAAGGATTTAAAATAACAATAGGATTATTATAAGACTTTGAGTGATAGTAAACACATTGTGTGTTACTGAAAAGTGGTGATAAAGTAAGACAAAAAGACAAAAAAATCTGCTACTTTCCCCGAGATTTACTGTGGCTCAAGAGTTACTGTATGCTCCATTTGCTATATTATAAAAATCTGTGATGTTGTTCCTTTTTGATTTTAGAAAATTATAATACTGTTGCAATGAATGAAATCTGTGTTAAGTAAAAATTGTTTGGATAACCTTTGACAAAATATCACTCATTTGAATGGGTACTACCAAATTCTTCAAAAGTGAAAGTAAAGTTAATTTTGGTGAGAAATACAGTTTAAAATTATAATTCTACCAAGTTAGAATTTATTTTCCTCTTAGTTTAAGATTTTAATAGGAATTTAAAATAATGGCTTATCTGGGATAAGATTTTTCAGACTTAGTCCTCAAAACTGTAACACCTCCCAACCATGGTTTAGTAATTACTAAAAAATGAAATGAGACAATTTTAAACATTTTTCTTTTAGTTCTTGTTTTGCACATAATAGTGATGATCTAGAATAGAAAGGAAGTGAGTAAAGTCCTTAAATAATTGATTTAAAAACTCTCTGAAAACCCCAAATCCACCCTAAAAATATTTCATTATCATCATTATCCTTGTTCACATGATACTGTGATGATGACATTTGTTAATCATTTCATATTTGTTGACTTAATCTAATCAGAATATCTAGTTTAGAAATGACTTTTAGATTCTTGGTGTTCTTGAAGAAGAGCTTTGCTTTCAGTACTAACTGTTACAGTTTATTGGTAGACTTTCAAACAGCAGGATCATCTTACCAGTGTACCTTAGACTGACTTCTCTCCTAGCATCCACAACAATTTACAGGACTTACTTTACTTCACTACTGTAAATTCTTCTGGGACAGAGACTGGTTTTTACTTGTCATTGTCTTACTTCTTATAATTGTTTCACATATTGTGAATACTCCATAAACGACAGCAGCAATTTTTTAAAGAACCTATGTGCTAGGTACATTATATACACTATTTAAAATTCTCACAAAACCATTATCCTCATTTTTCAGATGTGAATTCTCAGGCTCTGGGAGATTCAGTGACTCACCAAAGCTCACGGAGATAGTATAGAGTAGATAGAGCTAAAGTTCAAATTCAGCTTTGTCTGTCTTTTGAATCTCTAGAATCCTTATTTTTTTTTGCACTATGCCATTATCTTTTCAATAATATGCTTAATGAATGAATTAATTAACAAACCAAAGAAGTTTTTTGTATAAGTATTAAAACCAAGATGAGAATATGGAAAATAACAGATCAATAAGTCATCGTGTCCTAATCCTTTGAGATAGTACTTATTTGAATGATACATTTCTCAGTTTTGGATTAAAACATATTTGTCTATAGTGAATATAATAGAAGAATCTTTATTTTGAGTTATCTGAATTAATTCTAAATGACTGATAATGACTTGAAAATTAATACAAAAGACAAAATGGCTTTGCCTGATTTTGATTCTTGACAGTCATACATATTGATTGAGAATTCATTATCAATCCCATGTCTCTGGATCACTTATAAAGCAGTAGATAACATACATCAATTATGTATCAAAATAAATCCAGGATATGCTCTTTATAGAGCTACTTTTGCTTGTGTAGGAAAATTATGGAAACGTAACACTGATCTTTGTGTGGAAATTTGTGCAGGAAATTGAGATATTTCATTCTCATAGTCCAAAGAGTTATATTTGAATTTTTTAATGTAATTGAAGTAACAATTCTATGGCTTCAGCAATCTTTAAGATCAGTTTCTAAAATTAAGCCTATTTGTTTCTTAATCCTGTTTTTAGGTAGCCCAAGTCTTATATAAAAATCTTCTCAATATGTGGTATATCTTTGGAAACTAACACTTCAATCTTTCGAACTTTATTCCGCTTTTCTATTTGGCAGAAATCACATATAAATAGAGTTTGCTGGTAACTTAGTCTGCTTGGGCTCCCATAACAAAATATTATAGACTTTGAGGCTTAAACAACAGAAATTTATTTTCCCACAGTTCTGTAGGCTTGAAGTCCCTGATCAAGGTCTGGCAGGTTTGGTTCTGGTGAAGCCTCTCTTCCTGGCTTGCAGGCAGCCACCTCCTTGTTGTGTCCTTATCTGGTAAAGGGAGAGGGCGCTCTGGTATCCCTTCTTGTAAGGACACTAATGGTAGGGTTAGGCCCTACCATTAAATTAACCTCATTTAACCATTCATTATTTCTTTATTAATTACTGTTTCAAAATACTATCACATCTGGGGTTAGGTCATCAATATATGAATTTTGGGGGACACAGTTCAGTGCATAGCACCTGGCTATTACTTTTGTAAAAAAAAATTGTCTAAATTATGTAGGTACTGGCCACTATTTCTGTGCTCTGGATCTGAACAGCCTGCCTTTTCCTCTGACTTTCTAAGACCTTTGGGGGCCTCTAGATTTCTTGGGGTTCTCCATTAATCATTTAAGAATTGCAGGTAGGGAAATGAGGCATACCTAGGATTAGGTTGTCCGTTTGGGGGATTCTTTATTATTTCTTTCCCTGCTTCTAGACCCATATTCCTGGGATGCCACAAAAGATCCTACCCCTACACATCAAATAATGCAAATGCCAGTTATTTCCTTGGTTGTTCTGATGTCCTCAGGAAATTATTGCTCTTCTGTACTAATTGCAATAGAATCTAGAGTATTGTATTAAAAAATTAAATCAGAAGAATGTTACATAGACTTTGGTAAGAATGTTATGGGTTCACCTTGGTCTAGGTCAGATCAAGTAACTGGTAGTACATCTAAGAATACACTGTGTATCAGTATTTTCCACACAAAGGGGAAAATTGTTTTAAGCATTTCAATAACTATTGTCTTCTGTTGAGAAATAAAAGCCATAAATGCCAAGGGGGGAAAAGGCTCAGTAGAAGTATTCCATTCTATTTCGTAGGGCTGAGGTTCAGGTAAATGTGGTTTCTTTCCTTTTTAAAATTGTAATTAAAGGCTTCAGATGCTGTATTCTGATACTGGTTTCCCTAAGTACAGAGTAAACAGGTTAAACAACCGAACATTAAAATGACCTACCTATGACGTATGTGACATCTTTCCAGGGACGTAAAAAACATGAAAAACAGAGTATTAAAGTAGCTTCAAAGTGAAATTGTCAAGTAAGTTTCTTGTTATGCAATTTAAAACAAATAATCTTTCCTCTCTCTTATACATAAATGCATATATTTCCTTTTGGAAACACATGGAATAAAAGCTGTTTCAGAGAAGGTGCTGTACTAAAAATGATATTATTGTGTCTGAACATGCTTAGCCACGGGAGGTAAATAACTGACTAGAGTAAAGTACTGAAGTGCTTGATTAAAATAATTCTGTAACTTAACTGAAGTGGAAATATAGCAAATTCTCTTTAAGGCATACTTGGAACATACTGTGTTATTAGAGGGCTGAAACCAAGCAAAACTGCTAGATAGGAAAATCTACAGAAATTCTGCTTCACCTTCACTTTTGATAGAAATTTAGATTCTGTGTCTTGATCTCTGCTCCAGAAGAGTATCACACTGTGCTTTTTTACCCTTGCAGGACTTCATGTTCTACTTTTTTCCACCTCTAACCATACATCTTAGATCTCTGCTCTCCTGTGTTTTCCAAGGTGACTGTGAGCTAATCCGATTAACTAAGCCAGGCTAATGTTCTCACCAGTACTAATATATTAACGTCAGGTGTTTTAACCCCTGCCATGACTGTCTTCCTCAATGTCATACTGGACTCCTGTAGAAAACAGTTCTGTTTTTTCTTTCTCATTAAAAAATGTGGTTAGTGGTGGGAATTTCACATCAGATAGGTCTGACAGCACCATGTCAGATCATGGGAGTCATTCCTGGGCTTGTGGAGACCTCACTATCTCTCAAATCATAAAGGTAATGCTGATGATTTCACCTAAGCCATAATTTCCTCTTTCTCTACCCCACCTCACTATTTTATTTATTGACTTTGAGAACTAGAGATTTTAAGTAAGAGTGATGTTGTCTTAGGTTTAGTATCAATATAGAGGGGATTTTATGCCTCATAATATATCAGTTCATTTCTTGAACTGCTCTCTAATTGATTTATTTATATATGTCTTATACCCAATGAAGAATTAGCTTCTTATGGGGAAGAACCATACATTGCAATGCTTCCAAGTGACAGGATAGCATAATGATTAACAATACATAAACACTTGGGTTCAAATCTAGCTCTGCCAATTATCAACTTTGTGACCTTGAGCAAATCACTAAAATTCTCTGTGTTTTAGTTTTCTTTTCTATAAAATTGGAGTAGTGAAAGTATCTACCTCAAAAGGCTATGTAAGAACTAAATGATGTAAACTGTATTATGTAAAATGTATAGTATTTAGTTGTAGGGACTTAATAGCTATTGCATAAAATGATAATTTGTAAATAACTAAAAACTTTAGATACTAAAATCAAGTATTTGAAATTAATAACATAGTCAAACTAATACAAATTTTATTTTAGAATCAATATGTATATGCATTGCTTCTGCCTAGTTATCTCCCCTGCCCATATATGTGTATGTGTGTGTGTGCATGCGCTGTGTGTATGTACACAGTCACACACGATGTACATTTACCTCAAAGCTGTTTTGTATTCTCCTATCTCGTTACCGACTAAGGTCCTTTACTATAATACTTTGATTTACTTCTAGTAAGGTCGGCTTGCCACAGGCAGTTAAGAATGTGAAATCTGAAAAGGATATTAATTTGGAGTCATGAAATATGGGCTAATAAAATGTACGTGAAATTGCCTTAAAAACAATAGTAAAAAGATTTTCTAAAGGTATGTGTGTGCACACATACCTTTAGAAAATGAGAGGTGATGATTTAATTTGAACATGATAAACTTGTTTTCCAATGAATTACTTCTCTACCTCTGAATTTACAAATCATAAGTGATTTTCTGTTTGAATTTCCTTTTAGCATTTATGTCATAGTGATTATATATTTTCTGAATTTCAGTTGTCTAGTGGAGTTGGACTTTGCAGAGACAGTAATAACACTCAGGATTTCTGTTGTCATTTCTGGTTGTTAATTTGGGGGTTGGTCAACTTTTACAGTTTTATATCATAATGAGAGTTTTCTTTAAAAATAAATCCCCAGAAACATGAGTGGAATATAGGACACACCATCCTCAAAATGGCTGTAACAAATAAATACTGAGTAAATGGTTGGCTCTGAGCCAATGTTAATCTTCTTTCTTTTACATATAAAACACACATATTGATACTATTGAAAATACTCCTTACTTTAGTCATTGCTTTTTTTCTCCCCATAGTGTCTAAAGTATATAACTATGTTGCTAGAAGAATTGTGATAGAAACTTTGATGTAAGACACTGCAGAGCGGATAGAATGTTTTTTCAGCTTCTGCCATTCTCAAATAGGTTTGATTTTTCAACAGATTAGACTGAGCAAGTGGGAGATGTGGGCAGGCTTTTAAATAATTTGTATGTCAGGAGTATATAACAAATACAATCTATTTGTCAACCAGTATCATCAGTAAAAATGATTCTGGGAATATAGGAGCTTTTAAATTATATCTAAATTGTTTCTCCTAATAAATGAAAAAGACATGAACTTTTTTCCAGGTTTGCTCTTACAGACAGATATTCTCTTACTTGTTCTGAAGAAAATAGAAATGTCAGAATCTTGCAGGAAATTCAGAGCAGATGTCTTGTTTTGAATATCATTGTATCTTGTCAAAACACTATTCCAGAACATACTGTTTGAATTTCACTATAGACATCATAAATTATTTATATGTATTTTGACAATAATATATCCAGTTTATAAACATAATATTCACATCCAGTTTATAAATGTAATATTTAGGCAAAAAATTACCATGGTGAATTAGGTCATCTCTAAAATTTTTTCTAGCTTTAATGTTAGGTGATTCTAAGTAGCATGTATAATGATCAAAAAAATATATATGTTTAAAATGGATGCTATAGTTAAGAGTATTTTTGCAGTTAATAAAATATTCCCAAAAGAATGGGAAAGCCTTACTTCATTCATTTTCATGATGCAAACTGTAAGATTAGTTACTAATAATAATCACCTCCACAGGAGCAAAATGCAAGAAAAATAACACTAATTAAAAGAAAAATTTCACCTAATTTAACAAATATCAAAAAACTCCATGTATTGTATTTTCTTTTAAAAGTATTTCTCTCATTAAATTTTTGAAGTAACCTGAAACAGACATTATTATCCCCACTTAAATGATGAAAAAAACAAAGAACAAAGCAACAAAAAATATAATATCAAGAAAAAAGCCCAAGAACCCACAACTGGTTAAGTATTTGGTCCCTGAGGTCTGCGAGTACTTTACTGCTGAACATAATACTGCCTTTCACAGCTTGAGAGTCGACTCTGCAGTACAAATTGCAAGGAATCACCACTTCTTTTTCTCCCTTCATTCAAAGGGAGGACTGAAGAATTATACATTTCAAAATTAATCTTCTATTCATGGTTTTATTTTAACTTTCTAGAACATCAGACTCAAAATTGTGTTTACTCTGAACTTACATTAGTCTAGATGACTAGTGCAGATCACTTTAAAATGGAAAGATATGCAGTACTTAACTGTCTTTATAGAAGATAAATATTACTTAAGGTTACTTTGAAATATTTTAAAAAGAACACATAATAATATATAAACAATGAAATTATATTCTTTCCCCTAAGGTAGAATTTAAAAAATTATATTATCAAAAAGACTCTGGTGGACTCACAGTTTAGTTCTCTGTGCCTGGTGTCCTTGACTGTGTTCAGTGGATAAGAATTGTTGTCCACTGAACTCCTCTTGAAATGGAACAGGTTTAAGCTCAGATTTAAGATCCCTGAATATTGATGACCCTTACAGAAATAGCTCTGAACAAGTAATAGGATTGACATAAGAGAATTAACAAAGCCTATTTGTTAACAGTAAGGCAAAAACAAAGAAATAAACTGAAAAAGAGTCCTGTGGTAAATAGAATCTTTGTCCACCAATTTTATGTTCTTTGAGAAAAAGATGTTACCTTTCTTTAGCATGGACTAACAGTTCTCAGAAATTCACTTGCCATTTTCTAAAAGAGAAAATAATTTTTTCTGATCAAGAATTCTTTTTTTCTTTCTTTCTAATTGAAGTACAATCAGTTACAATGTGTCAATTTCTGGTATAGAACACAATGTCCCAGCCATGCATATACACACATATATTTGTTTTCATATTTTTTAAGAAAAATTTCTAGATCCAATTGTAGTAACTATCTTTCTCAACAACTTTATTTGGCATAGTCCATTTTTCCTCTTAAATTGGTCAAAATACTATTTTCTTCTCCCTTTTTTTAGTGTCCTGAAATGTCTTGTGTATTAAAATCTCTGCTACTCCTTATTCTTTTGTTTGGAAAAAGAAATCCTGGAAAAGTTTGAATACAGTTTTGAGTAATATAAACTGATCTTTGCCATATTATACCTTCCCCCTGCTTTATTATAAATCTTTCCTACTTCTTGTTTGTTTCAATTGTTGGTCATTTCACTTTTCTCCCGTTTGCTGTTCAAAACAATGAAATTTTGTTCAACAGCAATTTATTGACTTCTTCCTCTTTGTCAGGGGATGTTTACCAAAAGTGTTATTGCAATCTTCATAAATTACACTTTTGCTAAACTTCTTCAAGGCTACCCCATAGAATGTATATTGGGGTTCAGAGCTACCCTGGATAATGTATATTCTATGATCTAAGAGTAGTCAGCTTATTTATAGTTCACAAGATGCATCACATGGGTGAGAGATAACAATTATGTGAGTATTTATCAGAATAAAATGAATATGTATTTATTAGTCCCATAAACATATATTGAGCACCTATTTTGTTTGAAGGAAGCAGTAACTAGGCACTGAGGATACAAAGAAAATTAAACCGTATTCCCTATGACATGGGGCTCAGTCTAGCAGAAGAGATAGGCAAGTAAAATAATCACAATAAAGTGTTATAATTACTACAAAATCAGGAATGTGTAAGAGAGATTCTTTGGAGTACATAGAGTTTATTTTTATTTTTTTTCTTCTACAGTCTCCTAATAAATTTTTTTTAGGTTGGCTAAGTCATCAGGGGTCTGTTTGCTTTCTGAATTTTAGAGTTTTATTTGTGTTTTCTCCTTTACATTTTTCCCCATTACTACTAGTTTTTACTGTTAAAAAATTCCTTTCCTTCCATTTTAAACACAGTGTAGAGACGTAGGGAAGGTAGATGGTTATATTCAATTTGCCATCTTTTCCTAACACCTTTCATACCCATGGCCGAATTTCTCACCTAACTTTAATAAAGTAGGGAATTTAACTTACTCCAAGCTTAAAACTGGAAATTTATAAAGAAGTCTTTAAAAATTAAGGAGATTGAAATTTTACAAAGTATCTTTTCCAACCAGAATGGAATGAAACTAGAAATCAAGAACGGAAGGAAAGCTGAAAAATTCACAAATACATGGAAATTAAACAACACACTCTTGAATAACTAATGGGTCAGGGAAGAAATCAAAAGAGAAATTAGAAAATATCTCAAGACAAATGAAAAAGAAAATACAACATACCAAAAATTATGAATGTAGCAAAAGCAGCACTAATTGGGAAGTTTATAGTGATAAATGCCTCCATTAAAAAGAAAAATCTCAAACAACTTGACTTTATATTTCAGCAAATTAGAAAACAAACAAAGCCTAAAGTTAGCAGAAGGAAGGAAATAATAAAGATCACAGCAGAAATAAACAAAATAGAGAAGAGAAAAACAATAGAAAAAATCAAGAGTTAATTTTAAAAAATAAACAAAATTGATCAGCTTTTACCTAGACTAAGAAAAAAGAGAAAACTCAAATAAATAAAATCAGAAATGAAAGAGACATTATAACTGATACCATAAAAATAAAAAATGATCATAAGAGGCTGCTATGAACAATTATACACCAACAAATTGGATAATCTAAAAATAGCCCATGCATTTATGCTCAACTGATCTTCAACAAGGATGCCATGAATACACAATAGGAAAAAGGTAGTCTCTTCAACAAATGCTGGTAAAACTGAATATTCACATACAAAAGAATGATATTAGACTCTTATCTTACACCATACACAAAAATCAACTCAAAATGATTAAAGATGTAAATATTAGACCTGAAACTGTTAATCTCTTATAAGAAAACGTAAGGAAAAAGCTTCATGACATTGGCCCTGGCAGTGATTTCATGGCTATGACATCAAAAGCATAGGCAACAAAAACAAAAATAGACAAATAGGACTACGTCAAACTAAAACATTTCTTCTCAGCAAAGAAAACAGTTAACAGAATTAAAAGGCAACCTATGCAATGGGGGAAAATATTTGCAACCGTGTATCTGATAAGGGGTTAATATCTAAAACGTACAAGGAATTCCTTCAACTCAGTAGGACAAAGCAAGTAATCTGATTAAAAAATGGGCAAATAACATCGATAGATATTTCTCTAAAGACATACAAATGGTCAATAGGTGTATGAAAAGATGCTCAAGATCACCAGTCGTCAGTGAAATGCACATCAAAACCGAAATGAGATATCACTTCATACTTGTTAGGATGGCTATTATTTAAAAAAAAAAGATAACAAGTGTTATCGATCGTGTAGAGAAATTGGAACCCTTGTATACTGTTGGTGGGAATGTTGAATGGTGCAGCCACTATGGAAAACAGTATGGAGGTTCCTTGAAATATTAAAAATAGAAATACCATATGGTCCAGTAATCCCACTTCTGGGTGCTTATCCAAAAGAATTGAAGTCAGGATCTTGAAGAACTATTTGTACTCCTATGTTCATTGCAGTAGCTACTTATTCATAGTAGCTGAGATGGGGAAACAATCTAAGTGACCATCAATGGATGAATGGATAAAGAAAATGTAATATACACATACAATAAAATATTCAGCCTTACAAAAAGAAAGAAATCCTGTCATATGTAACAATATGGATGAACTTTGAGGACATTATGCTAAGTGAAAATAGCCAGTCGCAGAAGGACAAATGTCATGATTCCACTTATATAAGGTATCCAAATAGTCAAACAAAGAAGCAGAGAGTAGAACAGTGGCTGCCAGGGGTTGGGGGAAGGGGGAAATAGGGAGTTGCTATTTAAAGGGTATAAAGTTTCAGTTTTGCAAGATAATTAAGTTCTAGAAATGTGCTGTACAACTTTGTGCCTATAGTTCACAGTATTGTACTTAAAAATTTGTTAAGAGGATAGATCTCATGTTAAGTGTTCTTACAATAATAATAATAGTAATAATAAAAGAATGTCAGCAAATCAGAGGACAAAACATGATCCCCTGAGGACTACTTTTTCTCCTAAAGCTTTGCATTCAGTCTTGTTAAGGGAAGTCACCTGTTGGTCCTCCAGGATATTAAAAATAAGAATTAGGAGCAAAGGAGACAAAAACTAATGACAAATTTTTTTCTTACTATAATTTCTCATCTGTTGTTCTAGTTTCATCCTGTCTGTCTGCTTGTTTCTGGACAAAATCTTATGTTATAATTCCCTTAAGTGGTACCAATAAAACTGATTTTTGAATTTTTTTTCAAGAGCAACTCGGAATGGACCATTTCTTTGTGGTCTTATTCCTAAAATAGATCACAATAGTTTAAGTGGCAATTTTAAAATGTTTCTTTCATTTGAAGTCATATAACATTCTAATCATATTTCTGTAAATTATTCTGTAATGTCTTTTTGGTGGTACTCAGCCCTGGTTGTGCATCAGAATTATCTTTGGAGACTTAGGAAATACACATTTCTGGCCTCTGGAGATTTTGATGCAGTGTCTCTTTGGTAGTTCCTGCATTTTTAAAAGAATTTCCCAAGTGATTCTAATATACTTCCAAGCTTAAGGACTACCATTCTAATAGCCAACAGAGGCTATTTTTGCATTTCTTCACCCCAAGTATTAGTTTTAAAAAACTTCGTTGAACTAGCCAACTGAAGTTAAAGCAGAAAACTAATGATAGGCTCTTGTCTTGTTCCAGCCCAGACCAAATGGAATGTATATTTTCTGCATCATGCTAGCCCAAATGTATTGAAATGGATTTATTTCAAAAAGGAAAAACTCTTACCAATGGGGTTCTAATTGTTTCCAAGAGTTTTTGTTTTTCCTTTATTTGATCAGTTTGACGGAATATTAGTGTCAGTCTGATCATCTGATTTTGCATCTCAGTTCTCCAAATGATGCCATCTGCTTAACCCCGTGGGTCGTATCTCAGTTTGTACTGAGAGATTATAGCCTTATGATATCTACAAGCCAGTCATTTTCATTTCAAACATAGGGGATTTTTGAAAAGTTATCTCTTTATAAAGTATTGCTTTGGGTCAGAGGATGTGAGCTGCATGACAAAAATTGAAATGCACTGAGACTGAGACTTCATTTATGACCTAGTAAATGTTTTTCCAGTGCTTGAAAAAACTGTTTTCTCTAACTGTTGGGTACTACATTCTATAGATGACCATAATATCAAGTTTGCTTCTTGTTTACTAGGTGTTCATATTTCCTGTATACTTACTACTTTTTGTTGGTTTGATCTGTTATTATCACAACTATGATTATGAATTTAACATCTTTATACTTTTGTCAATATATCTTAGGCTTTATTTTTTAGGTGTGCATAAATTTAAAATTCTTAAATCTTCCTATTTAATTTTCATTTATCATATACATTAACCATCTCCTATATATATAGCAATTCTTTTCTGTCTTTAATATCTGTTGGTGGTTTTTGCCTAAGATGTCTTTTCTCATATTTTTACTTTTAATATCCTCATGTTTTATGTATTTCTCTTATAAACAACAAT